CCTGCAGAAGAGCTCTCATCTTTCTTTTTCAAAGTTTTGTGAAATTACTGGACAGAAAATTTTATTTTAATGCAGTTTGACTGTAAGAGTATAAGCACTCCAAGACTAACAACTAACTGACTGAGGTTTCATATTCAAGTATGTTATCAATGCTGCCTGACAACATTTTAAGTTAGTTTGACCCAACCCTGCACCTTTTTTACCCAGAAGGAGATGGTTAACAGTAGAAACACATTAACATGTCAACAAACCAACAAGGTGGAGAAGCACAATCAGGGGTGGATTCAGATGGGAACGCAGACAATGACAAATATCAAAAGAAGAATCCACTTGTAAACTTACCAAATATACCTTTAACGCCTTGCTTCTCTTTCAGGTAGTCAACATAAGGTCCAATCTGTGTGAGGTTGACTTCACTGTTTTGGGAAAACATGAAAAATATAGACCTACATATTTTGCAAAAAGAATACCAACCATAGTGCTCAGTCCAGGGGAGTGTGTCACAGTTTTCAAATATGTCCACACTGATTTCTCTCTCAACTTTCTGTACTTTCTCACACACCAAATACATCACTCAGAGCTGGATTCATGGGAAAAAACAAGCAGACAAAGGGAAGTGGTTTATAAAAGCTGCTTACCCTTCTGTGGTCAGTGGAGTAAACACGGCTGCAACTAGTCCTGTCAGCTTTTCATCAGCAGAGGCCGCCATGACTGACAAGACTATCTGAGATGCAAAATAAGTTAAGTGAGGAAAAATGCATAAAAAAATTAAATCAATACAAATTAAATCAAATAAAATCTAATTAAATTAATTAAATAAAAAAAAATACAGTTTGTCCAGTGGTATTCTTTCACGTGACACACTATCTTGCTCTTAAAAGCCACATTTTTTTTTTTTTTACAAATACTGCATCGTGCATCTAATTGATACACAGTATGCAACAATTAAGACATTTATTAGGCTTACAGTCATTTATATATGAAGAGAAAATTTAAAAAACACCGTCTAAAACTATTAAAATAATGACAAATATCAGCTCCATCCTACCTGTAAGAGCACTTCTCCTTCTGTGCGTCGAGAGCATCAATCAGGCTGGGTTTGGGGAGAAATCTGTTGCCGGTTATAACTTGTGTTTCAGGCACGGCTGGTAGTTGTTGATTATCTGTCATGTGAGGCCATCTGAGCATCATGTGACACCGCAAAGCTTCATGGGAAATGTAGTTAATGGATGAAAAACAGTAAAATATGACAGATAAACGCGGACTTCCATAATCATGAGTTATAAAAGATACACAGCTCACTTTTGACTAAAGATATGGCGTTTTTAATCGCTTTGAGGTGTACCTGGACGTTTAAATGTAGTTATTTCAGTTACAAAACAAACGTTGCCTTCACGTGTTGTTAGGAAATCTTAAAATGTACGCTTGCAAACTGTAGTTGTAAACTAGGGAGAATGAATTATCCTGTAACTCAATATAAAACCTTTACGATTTTACCTAAATAACTGAAATTTGCCCCTTTTAGCTCGTATAATCTATATGAAACAAGGCCATAATGGAAAAGGCGTTGCATTTAACAATTACGGAAATACCCGTAAATAATTGACATAGCTTAAGGGTTGTTTTATTGTTTGAATATCAAAATATGCCTTAAGTTATTCTGAATAAAGATTACATTTCGTTTACACCCTAAAATGGAGACATTTGAGTGTGGGCGAGGAGCGCTGAGTTTTTTTCCCCCCAGAACTTTTAGCACTCAAAGGCAACACAAGACTTTAATTCCGAAATTTGGACTGCCAGGCAACAACTCTAATGACTTATGTAACCCATTCAAAAGCCAGTGAACGACTAGTTATCCTTGGGTTTAGTTTATATGTGCTTAACAGTGAGACTGCAGCAATATGTAGAGTTACATGCACAAATCCCAGCGAGGAATAGGCGATTTGTTCCCCAGGTTGCGAGTAAATGTTACCTGACAAGCTAAACCGAGGGCATAATAGTCTTTAAGATAAATAGGCGGATGTTGTTGATGGTATCATCGCCACAACGTCCGTTTTTTTCAGACAGGCTAGCTTGGAGAAACAGCGGCGTACAGCGAAATTATCCACTATATAACTCGAAGTACAGTAAAGATAGCTCGCTCGGGTCCGCTCCTCAACAACGGACACGGCTTTTGTCGAGTTGTCTTGTATTCCCGGTCTGTTTTTTGTCGCGAGCTCAGCTAACTACCTAGCAGGTTAGCACAGCTATCCTGTCCCGCCGTTAGGGGGCGTCAAAGAGAACAGATGCCCCTGGCCCAAGGCCAAGGGGGTCCATGAAAAGGTCTATGGTATCACCCATAAATGGGATAAAATACAACAGATTACTTGCTGAGTTATATTATGAACAATACAAGGTATATGTATTGACATGATAAACAAATGTATTTTTTTTAAAAATGAAAACACAGTTCAACATGCCATCTGATACTCCCACCCCCCACAGGTATGTGAAATAGCGCGGTCTGACATCAGGGGTCAGATTTTTTGAGAGCAATTAAAAAAAAACAACAACTAATAAATTAATAACAAAATGAAATAAAAGAGGCTGGGGGAGATTTAAATATATAAAAATAACAATTGTAAAAATAAAAATACCAAATTTATCAAAAAGGAGCAAGTGACATCGAGATCCAACACAACAGTCATCATTCAAAACAACAAAAAATTAGAAAAATTAACACTTAACTTTCTTGCTATCCTGCTAGAGATCTTTTTTTTTCAGGTACAAGAAAGCAAGTTAAAGTAATTTACAAACCAGTAAAAGAGGGGCTTGGTGTTTCTCCACTTGCAACAATCAATATGGTATTTACCCATAAGTAAACTTATATTTATTAAAATCTCAGAAGTGCTGCTATGTAAGCATGTGAGGTGGGGTGCTACCCTGTAAGTTGAGCTTGCCTCACAAAAATGAGGGGCTCTTAAAGGAAAAGTCAGGGTACTGAGAGAACAGAGAGCATCAGATGTGAGAGGCAGATCTGAAGGTGAGGAGTTAGGCAGACTAATTTTTAGTAAGAAAACCTGTTGTTTTGGACTCAGTTTTTTACTATATTCAAAACTAGTTCCATAGTTGTCTCCAAACCTGAACGTCACTGCTGTTCCAAATGAACCTCTAATTATGAGGTTCAGTCGTGTAGTTTTAACCAGTGTGGTTGCATTAAATACTTTGGCTTCTGAATTCACCACAATAGGCAGTGAGGGACAGTTTGAAAATAGATTGTGAGAAGCTATGTCATCCAATAAGACAAACATAACCAGTGTTACAGGGTTCAGCTCTCACCTCCAAATTATTTAGTGTCTTTGTGTGTCAGAGTGTTCAAGCTGTTTTATTACAACTTTGTTTTTTTAATAGAGCTTTAAAAACAAGTGCAGTGAGTAATCTGTGTGTGTTTTGCAGCATCCCGCCCTTCAGGCTGCATGTCATGTTGTGACCTGCAGTAGCCCTCTGTGAGCACTCTGTGTGTGTGTGTGTGTGTGTGTGGAGGGCAACAGTGAGCCCATGACGTCAAGTAACAGGCCATTATAGTGATGCTCATTTTTGACACTGCTATCCCTTAGATGTAGCCAGAAGGCAGTTAAAATGAGCACCATCAGACACTGTCACAGGGAGCACTGCTCAGACAGGCATGTGAAGCAAAGCATTCATGCCCATGAAACTTGTTTCTACCCAGAGGCTGTCTGGAGTGGGCAGAGTGGTACTTCTAAAGCAAGAACTAGACAGGAGATCTGCGCACTGTATTCAGAGTTTGATTTCGATTTTTTTGATCCAGCACTACGTGTGATATGTGTGCTCTCCATCCTGCTCTGCAACACATAAAAACACATTACAGCACACTTTGGTATCACTTTAGTACTAAGTCGATCTCCTGCGTGTAAATATTTTAGTGTTTTCCATGAGAGTCACCTGGTTGTCCTCAGTTGACTTCGCTTTAATGTGACTCCCTGCTGTGTGAGTATGTGCCTGCAGCTGCGGTGGTACAGGACTGGTGCCATGTTGACAGATGGAGCAGTTAGAAAGGAGAGATGATATAGAATAACACTGATGATCCTCATGAGTACACAGGGCTGTTGGAGCAGAAAATATAAACATTAAAGCAACATTAAAGAGAAAGTGGTGATTAGATGATGCAAAAGATGCTAAACTGAGGAGTAACTGATAAATATATGGTCAAAACTATAAAACTTTTAACAACAGGTGACAGTGTTTAGATCAGGACTGGCCCACCAGAGGGTCCAGTTTAGCCCACTGGATCACTTTACACACCCAACATTGATGAACTTGTGAGGGCTAAGAGGTGCCAGACTAGTTGTTACCAACTAATGTCATGTCACATGACACATCCACCTTCCCTTGTACTATAGTAGTTGCCTTTGGGGTCAGAAATATCATACTGCTGTGAAGAGGGTCTCTGTGCTTCGGTGTCTCACTGAGTCACAATAAAGCGAAGTCAACTGAGGACAACCAGGTGACTCTGCTGCAAAACACACTCAGATTACTCACTGCATTGGTTTTTAAAGCTCTATTAAATAACAAACTTGGAATAAAAAATAGCTGGAGCAAGCTGAGGATGAGTCAACAGAATAATTTGGAGGTGAAAGCTGCGTAATCCTGTAACACTGATGATATAACCAATCTATTTTCAAACTGTCCCTCGCTCCCTTTTGCGATGAATAGAGAAGCCAAAGTATTTAATGCAACCACAATGGTTAAAACTACATGACCGAACCCCATAATTAGAGGTTCATTTGGAACAGCAGTGACGTTCAGGTTTGGAGATGACTTGGAATACTAGTTTTAAATATAGTATAAAACTGGGGGCTAATTTTGGATTAAAAAAAACACACTTTATTCCAGGTTTAGAGTCAACAGCTATTTGGTAGAATCCATCTACTGATGAGGTGTAATAGTTAAAATTTAATGTCAGGGTTTTTTGAAGTTTCCCTAAAGTCTTTACCAAGAAAAGAGAATCCACAGTATATTTTTATTTTCAATTTTCATTATCAGCTCATGCAAATAATCAAACATCTTCAGAAAAGTGTAGTAACCTCAGGCCAAAAACAGCAGCAAACCATCATGTCTTAGGGAAATGTTTGGAAATACAGACTTAGAAAGCAGGTTAAAAACAGGAAATGCAGAATTTCCATCTGATTAGGCACCATGAGACACACTCACTGTCTCACACACACTTGTACAGGTCTTAGAGATAATCTGGCTTTGTCATTTTGAAACTTGCCAGGAACAGAACATAGTAGATTTAAATGTGAACCTAAAAATGGATCATTGCACAATAGTAAGAAATTTATGGTATAAAATTTACCTGAAACAAGTGCTGAATCTCATTTGTGAGTGTTTTATGCTCCCTTTTGACAACTCAGATGTTACCTTTTCCATTTTCTGGAGTGAAAGTGTTCATACCAGTAATGCCTCCTCTGTCCGTTATCCTCCCTCTGATAGAGTCATCTTAAAGTCTGGGTTTTTCCATAACTGGGATTTTAAAGGAAGAAAAACAATCAAAACATGTTGCAATGTTAAATGTCTTCATCAGAATTGGTGTGCTGAGTTATTGAGAGAGTTCGACAGTCCAGTTTGACCAGTGCTTTGTTCAGGAAAAAATGCTGTAATATTTCTCTGCAATGGACAGAGCATCAGCAGGAAGACATGTCTTCACAGGGAGTCGAGGGGGCCCGAGACTCAAGCCCGACACCTCACTCATCAGCTGCTTGTTCACTCCAACATCAAAGCCTGTCAAGAACAATAAGGCAGTTTCAGAGGTGGAGAAAGACTCTTACAGTCGAAGAGCATTAATTTATCTTGTATAAAATATTATGACACAAGCACCACTCACCAACTTTTATGGCATAACTGATCAGCTCTTGCACCTTGAACTGCTCATGGAAAATTAGACAATGATGTTAGTAACCAAAAATGATGTCAAACAGAAGTTGGGAGCAACTGCAGGGAAATGGACAGTACCTGTATCGTCCTGGCTTCAACAAGGTCGCCTTTCTCAAACGCTGATATGAGCTTGTTGACATGACATCCCATGTAGTTATATGTGCTGCAGGTAGTGCAATTAAAAGCATTTTACATAACTGTTAAACTGTTAAACTGAAAGGAGACATAGCATTTCACAGGTTCACACACTGACCTGCCAACTGCTCCGTGGGCTCCCAGAACCAGAGCTGCGAGCAGTTGCTATGGAACAAATGAAGAAATTTTGTTTTAGGCTGGCTCTGTGGTGGAGGACAGAGTCACAAAATGTCATCTTGTAATGTAAGCACAGAACAGATGGACCAAAGATGATGGTGAGGAAGAAACAGCTGACCTCGTCCACGCCGTAGAGGAAGGACCAGTCAGGCTGACTGTTGCTGACACACTGACCAAAGTCCATCAGGTCTGTCCCACTGAACTTCACACCTCTGAAGGAGGGAATGAGCTCCTTAATACCTTCCAACAAATCTCTTACTGGCACTGAAGAGAAAAAAAAGACCATTTCAGATTCAGTATGCCATCAGTAAAGATGGTCTGACATTCAATATGCTTTTACCATGGCTAGAGATGCAAAGTCTTATTTCTAAATGGTGTGTGACAGCAAAATCAATCAGCAATGGCACTAACCATTAACACCAGTGAGAGCTGGAAAATTATAGTAATAGAAGGGCAGAGTTGGGGCAACTGAAGCCACTTCCTTAAGGTACGACCTCAAGACATCTGAAGCAGGATGAGAGAGAGAGAGAGAAAGAAATGTGGACAATTTACATCATGGAAATAAGTCATTTTGTTTTGGTTGTACTTTCCAACTGAGCTTCATCAGTACAGTATTGACACATGAATGAAAAGTGAGAATGGACGTTTGATGATTACGCATTTTAAAATGGGGAAATAAATGCTTTTACAACTAAAAGAATTGTATACCTGCAGAGCTGGGCTTGAAGAAGGAGGGGGAAATGACTGCTATTGCATCAGCCCCGATCTGTGCTGCATGGCGAGCCTGGAGGAAAGATGAATGTCCAGAGGGAGAACAATGAAAACTAAGGCACTTACTACTGTAGTGGATGCATTCAACGTTAGCTCTTTCAGTACTGTTGCGGTTGTTGGTTAGCACTACTTGCACTGTTCGCACCATTTGTTGCTAGCCATCGGCTCAGCCACCTCCATGTTGAGAGCCATATGTCATATATCTATCCATTAAATATGAAGCTACAGCCAGCAGTCTGTTAGCTTAGCTTAGCATAATAAGTGGAAACGGGATAACAGCTAGCCTGGCTCTGCTGAATGGTACTGTCCAACTATTATGTTAATACTGACGTAGCATGCAATCACACACTGACATCCGAATTCCGACATTCGAGATCCTCAGTGTGACATCATTCAACGGTCATACAGAGAAATATACACTCTAGAGGCACAGATACCATATTTCTGTAACAACACAGTATAATGTGAGCTAGAATTACCGCTTCAGGCTGTATGCCTCCGTGAAACAGTCAAGTTGTAGTTACAGTTTACATCCATGTCTGTGAAAACATGGATGCATCACACACATCAATTCAGTATCTGACCAAATATTTCCCCTTCTGTTCCTGAGATATGATGTTGAGTGATGGCCAGAACAGTATGTTTGCAGAACATTATGGTGTCACAGTAAAGCTGATCTTTAACTTTTTGGATATTTTTTTTTTTTCCTATTAGACATTTGTTATTGAAGTCTTGAGTTATGGCCAAAAACATGTTTTGTGAGGTCACAGTGACGTTGACCTTTGACCAATACATTATAATCAGTTCATTTTTAAGTTCAAGAGGAAGTTTGTACCAAATTTAAGGAAACTCCTTCAAGGCCTTCTTGAGATACTGTGTTCACGAGAATGAGACAGATGAGGTTGCAGTGACTATGACCTGTAATCCATGACCACCAAAATTGAATCAGTTCATTGTTGAATCCAAGCGGACATTTGTGCCAAATTTAAAGAAATTCCCTTTAAGGCAATCTTGAGATATCACGTTCAAAAGAATGACACAGATGTGGTCATAGTGACCTTGACCTTTGAGCCATGACCACCAAAATCTAACCAGTTCATCGTTGAGCACAAGTGGACATTTGTGTCAGATTTAAAGAAATTCCCTCAAGGCCTTCTTGAGATATCACATTCACAAGAATGGGACAGACAACCCGAAAACATAATGTCTCCAGCAATGGCGATCGCTGGAATGGAGGGATAAAAAATGGAATGAAGCTGAAAGATATATTTGTGTTTTGGGGATGTATAACTTAAAGCAACAACAATATAATAAACTTTATATAGCCCTGTTATAAAACAAAGTTTACAAAGTGCTTTACAGGGTAAAAACTACAAACAGCATAATTATTAAGTGTTAATCATAAAAACAATAAGAAAAAAAAATACTGTCTCCACTTGCAAATTCTAAATGAAGTTAGATGTTGAAAATGGAAAATGTTGGGAATCACCAACGAGGCAGACCGTCTTAAATTTCTCTCCACCGTAAAAACATATTAAAACACTTTATCAGTACCTACAAGAATGAACTCTACTTCCACAAAAACCCAAAGATAGAATTGTCAAAGTGGAAACAAAACATTTAAAGTGGAAATTAGCATCTTCTTCTGATAGCATTGCAATTAAACTCATATTAACCAAGTATGTCTTGTTACCTACTGTAACTCGTGTTCTTTTTTTATGATACGCACCTTAGAGTCTTGTCATGTGTCCTGTGCTTTATTTAATGTTCACATCACTGCAGGTAACATAAAAGCAGCAACTCACCAGATCTTGGGAATCTTTAAGACTCATGCAGCCGACATGCACAATCACATGATCGATTCTGTGGAGACATGCAGACAATTTCAAAAACTGTCAACTTTCTTTCTGCTGCATTAGCTCAAAACTGTTTGGCTGTGTGATGACTTACTTCCCCTTGGCTTTCTGACACCACTCAGCAGCCAGGATCTTCCTCTCCTCAATGCTGAGAGACGCGCCCTCTCCGGTGGTGCCATTCACTGTAAGACAGACAAGTCATGTCTTATCTACATGCTGTTTGCAGCAACACTAAATACAGTTCGTCATACAATATACACAAAGGACAAAGGAAATAAAACAAAGCAAAAGACGTCTAACTGCATGGTATTTACACACAAAGGGATTAACTACATAGACAAGCCAAGGATTGACGTTTTGATTAAAAAGGAAGAAACCTCAAGTGGGGCCCGTTCATAGAGGGATCCACCACCAGGACGCCTTAGTGTGCAATATGTGCCAGGATAAAAATAAATTCATGGGTAATGCAGACAGTGACAAATATCAAAGGAAGAATCCACTTGTAAACTTACCAAAAATACCTTTCACACCTTGCTTCTCTTTCAAGTAGTCAACATAAGGTCCAATCTGTGTGAGGTTGATCTCGCTGTTTTGGGAAAATGTGAAAAATACAGACCTATACATTGTGCAGAACGAATACCAACCATGCTGTAGTGCTCCTCCATTTTAACTTTCTATAATTCTCACACACCAAATACATCACTCAGAGCTGGCTTCATAGAAAAAACAAGCACACAAAGGAAAGTGGTTTATAAAAGCTGCTTACCCTTCTGGGGTCAGTGGAGTAAACGTGGCTGCAACTACTCCTGTCAGCTTTTTATCAGCAGAGGAGGCCATGACATTATTATCTGAGATGCAAAGAGAGGTGTCAGAGGAGACATGTTAGTTAGGTTGGTGGGTAGAAAGAGAGAAACAAATGATACATGTTAAAAGAAAACATAATGCATACAATGAAATTAAGTAAAAGGAATAAGATACGAAAGAAAGAAAGAAAGAAAGAAAGAAGAGCTGTTTGCCCAGTGGTAACTTTTACAAATACTCAGTGTGCAATACGACATGTATTAGGCATACAGCCATTTGTTTATGAAGAGGACATTAAAATACACTGTTGAAAACAATTAAATTAATGTTAAATGTCAGCTCCAGCCAACCTGAAAGGGGGGCTCTTCTTCTGAGCGATGAGAGCATCAATTAAAGTGTATTTTTGGAGAAATCTTCCGGTATAACTCGTGTTTCAAGTACGTCAGAGTTGTTGATACGCTGTCAAAGCTTCATGGGAAATGTAGTCAATGAACGAGAAACACTAAAATATGGCGAAAGAAACATGGACTTCCATTAATTATGAGTTAAAATAGACACACAGCTCACTTTGAAACACGGATATGCTGGTTTTAATCGCTTTGAGGCGTAATTTGAGGTTTAAATGTAGTTATTTCAGTTAGAAACCGTTAACGCTGCCTTCACGTGTTGTTAGGAAATCTTACAATTGTACGTTTGCAAGCGAATACAAAGTGGTAAACTAGGGAAATGGAAGTCTCCCGTAACTCTGCATATTATATTAATGATGATGCTAAGATAACTGAAATTTGTCCCATTTTTAGCGCATGTAAGCTATGTCTAACAAGCTAATAATGGAAAAGGCGTTGCATTTCAGAATTGCGGGAATCCCCGCAAATAATTAACATAGCTTTGGAGTTGTTTATCGTTTTTAAAACAGCAAATACATTAAGATGTTCTGAATAAAGATTGAATTTCGTTATCACTCTCAAATAGTACATTTGCGTGTGAGCAACGGGCGCTGACAGTTGTTTTTGCAGAGTTTTTATGATCAGCACTGAAAGGCAACACATGGCTTTATTTCCGAAACTTGGGCTTTCAGGTAACGCCTTTCATAACTTGTGTGACCCATTTAAAAGCCATTAAAACACTAGGTATCATTGGGTTTAGTTTATATTTCCTTATCAGTGGGGCTACAGCAATATGTAGAGCTACGTGTGCAAATCCCAGCGAAAGAGACGCGATTTGTTTCTCAGGTTGCAAAGACGGTGCTGCCTGACAAGCCAAACCGAGGGCCAATGCTCCAGACTTCCAGGAAGCGGATGTTGTTGACGTTTTCATCGGAACAGCATCCGGTTTTTAAGACAGGCTAGCTTGGAGAAACAGGAGGGTACGGCGAAATTATCTACTTTACACCTCGAAGTACAGAAAAGATAGCTCGGCCGGGTCCGCTCCTCAACAATGGACACGGTTTTTGTCGATTTGTCCCGTATTCTCGGTCTGTCTTTTGTCGCGAGCTCGGCTAGTTAGCACAGCCGGCTAACTGTCCAATTAAACACCGACAAGTGCTCGGCAGCTTGTCCGACTGCTTGACGAAGGAGAACTGTCAAGAGGAGGAAATAATTTACTAATATCTAAGAGGGTTTACCAGAGTGATGAGAGGAGCTGGTATGAACGGGATCTCCCGATGTCTGTTGGTTTGACTCCTGGTTAAATTGGCTGTAGATTGTGTGAAGTAATAGATAACGTAACGTTAAGTGAGCGGTTTGTGGAGTGGGATTAGAAACACAGAAAACAAGACTGTTAATTCGGTCTTGCTTGTTTTTGTTTACAGTAGATGAAACATAATAATATGTCGTGATAACTGAGAAGGGTAGGAGTTTACTTGATCGCTGTTTTGTGACGATAAAAATAAGTAGCAGTGTTGTAATTATGTTATTGTAATCATAGTTAGATTACATGATTTGATTGAGTGGGTTTGCCTTAGGAAAGAGTTGAATGTAAAGTCAGTCCTTTACATGTCAACGTGTCACACCTGTGTACAGTAGGTCCGGGTGACAGCTTGGAAGAATAAACAGCTGTGACTCATAAACCTGCTCACAGGACTGGGAGCAACTTTGCACTACAATTAGCCTAATGCCTGGTACATCTCTATCAGTTACACCTCATAACTGGTTACTTGAAATAACATTCCTACAAATTATGTAATTACAGTTTTGGCTGTAGTTGCAAATATTATAGCACACATTGTACATAGTCATCCTTTGACTTTTAGTAGTGTTTTTGGTGTTGAGTGGTGCTCAGCTGGATAGTGCCATGATGCTCTCTGTACCTGCTGATGATTAAATGGTACATCTCAGACAAAGCCCCAAAGTGCTTTAACATGATCTCAGAGGTATAGCATTAATGGGATGGTGCAGATTTATGTTTCTTAGTTGTTTTGTTAGTTTGAGCTGTTTGGTTAGGGCAGTGGTAATGACAAGCTATTTGCTCTGTGACTGACTGTGAGCCAAACTGTAGTTGTATGTTTTTTGCTGCCATCTTTTCCACCCACCGCAATGCCGGCTGTACTGTTCTGCCTGATGCTGCTTGGAGCATTATGCAGCCTCGGACAGGCCATGTCACGGGAGGAGAAGCACAGGTTAAGGTGAGTAGAGGACAAACAAACAGTGTCCTCGGGCGAGAAAAACAGTTTCTGCCCCCAACGCATGTTACACATGCTGACTTATGTCTGTGTTTTCCCCTCACTGAAGGAACCAAGTGATTGAGATGTTTGACCATGCATATCAGAATTATATGGTAAGTTAATAATCTTTACATGACCCCTTCACAGAAATAGGAGTTTCTAGTTGAAGTCTTTTAGATGCAGCTTTGATATATGAATTTATTCAGGACAATTGAGCAGCTTCTTAGGTGATCAGGACAGTTTTTCTTTTTGTATCCCTGCCCGTACTGGCTCATACTAGTGTAGAGTACAGAGTAACTATTGTAAAATAAGATGTGATCATTTTCTTCATCATGGTTAATTGTGGTACCATAATTTTTTATATCAGTCCCAACTGGCTTTTTGCAACTTCTTTCATGTTGGAAAACATAAAATATCATTTACATTTCAAGGTGACTGAGGCTTAATCAGACTGTGGCGGCCTCCTAAAACATATATATGTAATAAAAGGTCAAATCATGGTGTTTAAAGTGTGTTTGTGTATGTTTCCTAGGACCATGCATACCCAGCAGATGAGCTGATGCCCCTAACATGCAGAGGAAGAGTACGCGGGCTTGAACCCAGTCGAGGTGACGTTGACGACGCTTTGGGAAAGTGAGTAACGTACTGCCTTTGTTCATTGAGATCTAACGCATTAATGGAGCAATTATGACGTAGGTCCACACACATATTACCACACCTGGTTGAGCACTTGCCCGAGGTGAAAGGTGGCAGCAGATTGTACTTATACATGCTGAATAACCATTACTGTGTTGAATAATGTTGACATTAATTATCACAAGGGACAATCAACATCCTTGCTTAACAGTTTTTGTCTCCCACTGATAGGTTCTCTCTGACGCTGATAGACACTCTGGATACTCTGGTGGTAGGTACTGGTTTGTGTATTCTTCGTGTTTGGTTTTACTTTTTTTTTTTTTGAAGCAGCATTTGTGTTAATAAGACAGAGCACATTGAAGGAATTGAGGACATTGGAGTAATGTGTTATGCGCACTGCACATAAAAATGATCCCATGTTTTTTCATTTCCTGTGTAAGCCCTAACAGAATGTAAAGCGAAATATCAATGTTACTGCATTAAAAATTAACAAACCTTTATTAAATATTTCTGGGGTCAGTTATCTGAGGAGCATTACTGAGTCTTTTAGTCCACTTTTAAACTATGAAATGATCTATAATAACCCTGAATGTTGTAATCATGCATTATTTCTTATTGCCAGCTCTTGAACAAGACGACAGAGTTTGAGGCTGCAGTGAGGAGAGTGCTGTCAGATGTGAGGCTGGACAATGACATCGTGGTGTCGGTCTTCGAAACCAACATTCGAGTTCTTGGGTGAGATTGGACTAGACTATTAAGACCTATTAATGGTTAAGAAATAAACTATGAATGTACTGTACAGCTTTTTCACGCAGCAAACAGAACAGCTCGCCAAAAAGACATTAGTGATAAGAAATCACTGGATCCTATTGTGCTTAATTCCTGAATTTTGTTTGTTGTGTGGGTGTTCAGAGGGCTGTTGGGAGGACACTCCATGGCTGTGATGCTAAAGGATGGAGGTCAGCACATGCAGTGGTACCAGGATGAGCTCCTGCACATGGCTAAAGACCTGGGCCTCCGACTACTGCCAGCCTTCAACACCAGTAGTGGCCTGCCTTATCCCAGGGTGAGACAACTGCACACAGTCAGAAATACCTAAATTCAGCTCCTTGAAGGAATGATCATTTGTATGTCGGTTACTCACCCTGTGTTACGAGAAATTCTGAAAGAAACTTTGGTTTTCTCGTGTGCCCTCAAGGTGAAAAAAGAATCCAGAACAGGCGAACATTTGTGATGAACTGAGTTCATAGGGGTCGGCGTTAAACAGCAGCAGAACTATATCAAAATTTCCTTTTACAGACTCTCATACACACACGCAGCATATTCCAAGTCTTGTTTATCCAGTTGTGCGCTAGGTACTTCCCAAACCATGCTGAAACCGTTATATTTAAAGCACATGGTCATAAACAGTTTCACACACAGATGAGTTGTGGAGATGGCAGTAGCAGCAGGAGCAGGAGGCACGTGGTCCTGCCAGATGCCTCCTGCTGCTACTGCCATCATTAGTCATTAGTCATACTTCTACTGTTATTATACACATATGACTATTGTCACACATGTATACTGCCAGATATTAATACATACTTTCAACATATTGTACCACAGTAGCCAGAACTATAACTATAATATTATTACTTTCAATAATGTTGTTGTAACCTACTGTCATTACCTGCATCTCTCTCTCTGTCTCTCTCTCTGTCTCATTGTGTCATGCGGATTACTGTTAATTTATTATGCTGATCTGTTCGGTATGACATCTATTGCACGTCTGTCCGTCCTGGAAGAGGGATCCCTCCTCAGTTGCTCTTCCTGAGGTTTCTACCGTTTTTTTTCCCCATTAAAGGGGTTTTTTTTTTTGGGGGAGTTTTTCCTTATCCGCTGCGAGGGTCATAAGGACAGAGGGATGTTGTATGCTGTAAAGCCCTGTGAGGCAAATTGTGATTTGTGATATTGGGCTTTATAAATAAAATTGATTGATTGATTGAGATCTTTTGAACATAGGATAAAAAATGCTCTTCATGCTATATTGCACACATGTCGTTTTGTTTAGAGTATTGTTTTATGAAGACTGTCTGGACCGCGACTGGAAAAGAACCTACTGAGTTTCAGCCATTTTTAGTGAGCAGAGTCTGTAATCAGTGATACATCTACTGAA